TTAGTGCATGATATAGATGTGTTTAACCCTGAGACTTCTGGTAACAACACAGAGTTGTATTTAAAGGATGTAAATGCAGCCTTGACATACTTTTCTGAGGCTAGTATGGCTGACAAAGTCTTTCTTCTGAGAAAGACCACTGCACAAACCATCCATGGTTTCATAGATAGACAGAGCCCAGCTATCGCTAACAATTATGACGAATTGTGTAAAGCCCTTCGGTCAGAATATACTATGTATCAGAACCCATCTGCCTCTCATCTCACAGCCTTCCGAATTAAGCAAGGTCGCCATGAATCTCCCAGAGAGTACTATTAGCGCTTAAGGAAAGTGTATTTTGCTGGTAGAGATGACACTAGCGCAGAGGAGGATGTCATGTTTAAGAGTTTGTTTGTGAGTAATCTATACCCCACTGTTAGGAAACCACTCATACTTCTGGTAGATGTTGACCGTATGTCTGCAGGAGAACTGAGGCAGCTTGCAGTGCGAGCATGGGACAGTGAGAGGGTAGGCACAAACAGGAAAGACAGAGAGACAGATACATCTGTGCTTGAATCAGGAAATGACAGTAAGACTCCCTTTTTAAGGGAAGTGTCAGAACTTCTCCAGAACAGGTTTGTCCATTCCAGCAATCTCCAGCAGAGCACCCAGAGCCCTAGGTTCTTAGGTTACAAGGGACATAACAGTCACAGGCATGCCCCCAGAAAGAAGAGCAGGCAGTGGGATGACAGAGAGCAAAGACAGAAGAAGGGTAGAGATGGCTATGAGAATGGCCATAAAGAGTGTAGTCATTACAGAAGTAGGAAATCTAGAGGAACGGAAAGTAAGGATGCTGAGAACTTAGCAGAGATCCAGCACCTACTTCTTAAAGCCCTCAATGACCTCAAGTCAGAGGAGAACACCTCCAATAACAGAGACCTGGTCTTCTCAGCATAACCAGGTTGGGGCCCCTCCCCCTCCACCTAACATCTGTGTGTGGACAAGAGCCACAGGGAAAGGGGGGTACCCCATAACTGAACAGGGTCTACCAGTGTCAGCAGGCACCCAGCTCTTGTATCGCATCAGACATCACCTTCAACCAAAGAAGGTTTCTTTACTTTCCACTCCAGTTTTGTTTTCCAGTTTAGACTTTTTAGTCAGTGTTTATAACTTACAAGGTTATGATTTTGCATGCCCATGACAGTCTCTTTGGATGTCAGGAAAGGGGGGTAAAGCCCCATGTGATACTACTGGCCAACTAGTTTACTTGCCACATGTTAAGTAAAACATTGCAGATCACGGTTAGGGTTGTTCTAATTTGTTGTTGTCAGTTCTAGCCATCCAATCTCCCTTAAAAGTCAGCCTTCCACAGAAAGGAAGAATTTGACTGGACCTGTGATGCAGTCCTCTAGAGGCAGCTGCAGACTTTAGACAGAACACTCAAATGTACAACCTCCACTGCTGGTCAATATACAGTCCCTTGAACTACACCATCCACAGTGCAGCCAAGATAATGGATGTCATACAACATGACCACTCTCATTAATTGGTCTGTATATTAATGCAATATTTACTTATGATTTAATTAAGTGAACTTTGCTCCTGATAATTAGACAATAGAAACAATCTTGTCATATGTATGTGGTACCAAGTGAACCAGTTGAGGATTCTGTAATCAGGCATTGCAAGGAACTATGTAAACATTGCAGGTGCACATAGCCTTACAGCTTGAAGAGTGCCAAACTAAATTATGTCAATCCAGACATTTAAGAAATTGGTTTCCTGCTAAATCTGCTCAAACATTTTTAATGTTTACTCTTACCTTGATACTCTTTTTAGAGATCTTAAACAATAGACTTTAAGTTACTTTTAGGACAACTTTTCCTTACACATATCTTCTCCAGAATGCTTCTAACCTGTTTAGAAATTATTCTAATGACCCTTACATTTAATTAATTTAGCTCTATATAGAACATATCGAGACAAATTTTACTTGAATGCCAATGGTCAGAAGGAGGAGGTGAGGTGTATGTGTGTTTTGTTCTTGCTGTTCCTTTTAGTGCATCGCCCAGATCAACGACTTCATGTCCTCAATCAAGCCGATCGGGGGGGATGTAGTGGACAGCACATTCCAGGGCCCAGTTTATGGCGGGGCCCCTCTCTGACCCCTATAGTGGACAAAGGTTTGCTACATTTTGATTGGATCTTGGTGGACTAACATACGCAAACTGTTCAACGCCATCAGATAAAGATGCCAGGACAACAGCCAGACACCTCTTAGAGGGCAAGAAGAAGACCTTTGGTACAAAGGACAGGACCAAAGGAAGGACAGGACTTCCTATTGGTCAAAATGCAGTTTCTGCCCTTCACCCACCAACAGACTGATTCCTAAGGTTTTGGCCTGTGACCACCATAAAAATTCCTTAGGACCTCTGGATGCAGCAGCAGTGGGTGAAACAAAGAGAGATCACAAAGTTCCATTCAAATCCATTCATAACTATGTTCTCAAACCTTAAACTAATGCAAACTACAACACACACATCTCATACTTCTTCAGAGAAATAAGTATTCTCAGTGACAGCGACGTGTAGTGCAACATCTTACACAAACTCAGCTGTTAATGGACAAATGAATGCATGCATGACAGTTCAGTCTTCTTCATTCATGTTTGGACTTAATGTGTTTGTAACATTGCCAAAGGTATTCTGGTTGTGGTTTGATAAGTGAATAATGCATTGGTAAAACATTAGTAACACTTTTCTAACTTTGTGTTTGGACTATGCAAATAAGTTCTACAGGAGGAAGGAAGGGTGGACCACACAGGCGAGCGTACCTTCACTTCAAGGTACTCTGCGTGTTCCGGGCCAAGGACCTCCTACCTACTCCAGGGCCACGTCTGCATTTCAGATTGTAGGACCCTTTGGTGCTCCAGGAGATCAGGAGATCTACATATCTTGGAAAGAAGGGTGGGCCACCCCGTGTCCCCCCACTCTGATGGAAACAGCCAATCACAGCCTGGAAATGGATTAGTATCCAGCCAGGGAAGTATTAGTATCACTTCCTGTTTGTTGCTGCCACGTGCTTTGAGTTTGAGCGCCGTTAAATTAATTCTTTATCGTCTATTTTTTAATCTTAAAATCAATTGTATACACCATCATTTTCGTTGATATAATGTGTGAATATATCCCTTATCGTATTCTACAACAAAAACAATCAGAGCGCCTTGTTATCACTAGTTTTATTTTGATTTCCCGAGTCCGTTATTAGCTTATAGCCCGTTAGCAGAGTCAGAGCGGAACTCCTGTCGGACAACATCTCCAGGGTGCTGCGCTCCATATGACTAGTAAGCCAATTCTCAAATAACTGCTTTTGTTCTACCCGCTTAAATGATAGAAGTACTTGCGCTGTCCAATCTATAAAGACTGTGTCTGTTCCCTGAATAGTGAGGTCAAAATATAAGCATGAGCCCCGTCAGACTGGTCGTGGCGGCGGTGTTGCAACAATATATAATGATATTCTCAATGTTACTCAGGAGACAGGATGCCGGTTTAGCTCATTCTAAATACTTCTGCTTAATGTTACACTGTCAGATATGCGAAAGAAATCGTATCTCTTGCTCTGGCTACTGTGTATAGACCGCCAGGGCCGTATACAGATTTCCTAAAAGAATTAGCAGATTTCCTCTCAGACCTATTGGTTACTGTTGATAAAGCGCT